TTGTGTGTGTGTGTGTGTGTGTGTGTGTGTGTGTGTGTGTGTGTGTGTGTGTGTGTGGTTGGGGCGTGTTACCCTCTCTGAATAGGTCTTTTATTTTGAAGTTTCTCTGAGTTGTTCTTCAGTGCTCAGCCTTGTTCTTAGTCCTCAGTCATGTCGAACATCAGCGCCCCTAACAGCAGCCTGGTCCTCGTCCAGAAGGCCGTGAAGCAGCTTCGTCTGGAGGCCAGCGTGCGTCGGATAAAGGTTTGTACACACAACTCAACACTTCTATAAATTGAAATCAGACTTTTCCTGTAACTTAGGTGGTGGTATAGTATATGTGATGACGAGGTCAAACAGCTGGAAAGAGAACATCTCAAAAAGTCATGTTTTTTGTACATATCGTTTTTAATGAAACTCATGACCCTCATTCTCACACTTTACTTGTAGGTCCATTATATGTGTCATAGTGCAGTGAGGGTGCAGCACAGTGACAGCTTTGTTCATTGTGCTGCTGTGTGACTGCTGTGATTGTTGGGGGGGGCTTCTTATTTTAGCAACATAAGTCAGACTACTCTCCGAGTGTGACTGTGTTACAGCAGGCGGCCAGGGAAGTACCCAGGATAAATGAAAAACTGAATTGGAAACATTTTAAGTACATTTGGAGGTCATTGAGGATGTTAAAGATCCTACAAATACCTGGGTGTTCGTCTGAACATATACTGGACTTGTCGGATCACTCTGCTACTCTGTACAAGAAGGAACAGAGCAGAATCCATCTGCTGAGGAGACTGAGGTCTGTTGGGGTGCAGGGGGCCCTCCTGCAGACCTTCTATGACTCTGTTGTGGCATCAGCCATCTTGTATGGTGTGGCCTGCTGGGCAGTGGCGCCTCCAGACATTATTCATAGGGGTGGCCAAATAGGGCCACTGAAAATCTTGGGGTGGCACACCAAAACCAAGAATTTAATTGTTGTAAAAGTATAGACTAGATGAGGCAAAGAGAATCACCTACTGATATACTTTGGTTTCTTATTTTACATTTTCTGATACTATTCATCTGAAGTGAATATAATACGGATAGTTAACATTTTACTTAACCTCTTAAGCCCGAGGGTCCCCCCAGTGGACCCCTCCCACCGTTTTTTTACGAGACTGTCTCAGGGCTTCTTAACATTTATGAAACTATTAATGTTCCATACCCTTTTAACGGTAAGAAACTCAGCTAACTGACAATATGAACCATGTTTAGCTAAAAGAAACACAAGAGTAATACCAAGCCTTTGAATTAGCATGGAGCGAAAAAATACTAACTAATGCTAACGGACTTTTGCACAGCGCTCACGGTAGAAATGCCCTTATTACTTATCGTAACTGCACAAACAAGATATCCGATTAAAGCTGAGACTCCACAGATTCCACACATGTAATGTCATCACTGTACGACCCCGAATTCCTGGAGCTATCAGCCAGAAAAGAGAAAGTAAACAACATCCGTTTTCAAAACCTTTTTTTAAAATTTGTGATCAAAAGTTGTGTTCAACGTAATAAAAACGCCGCTCAAGGTTAATCCAATGTCTTTGTGTCACGTAGAAATTGTTACTGATAATCCATCATCATATTTATGGCAATATACTGGGTATAACGTTTTGCCGTACAGGCTTGTACTTTCAGATATGCTTCGTTTGCTTCTCTATTACGTCCGCAATGGTCATGTTTACGTGGATTTGGGAACTGCCCATCGATTCTATTGGATGTAATGGTTAAGAAAAAGGTGTAAATCACCCAAATCGACCAATGGGTTCCAGATATATGGTCCTGCGTAAAGTATAAAGAATGCCAGCCAGCGTAAGCACCTTACGCAGCAGACTTTACTTATTGTTTACTACGGAAGGAAGCAGGAATTGCAGGACCCAGAGCGCACGGAGCACAGAGCGGACAGCAGATAACGGAATTGCAGTTTTATTGCTTATAGATTATCAGAACATTTCAAAGGGGACACAGCCACATTGGATATTAACCTATGGATTAACTACATCATCGTTTTTATCGTTTTAATGCCATTGAAGACCAGTTTAGACCAGACAAAGAGGAAGGTAAGCCATGTTAGCCTAGCGCATGTTAGTACCTAGCGCCACTTGTTTTGATGTACGTTTTTGTTGATAACGTCGCAAGTTTGTATCTTTCAGTGTTGAGGTGGGCACCGTTAGATTCTGTGTCTTTACGATCATAAACGATGTGTTGGATGTGCAGCTAGGATAAGTAATAAGGGAGCTAGGAGTGATTTTCGGTGCAGTAATAGGTTAGCATTTTTCGCTCGGGGCTAATTCAGAGGCTCACTGTTAGCATTGTGTGTTTTTATTTGAAAAAAAAAATGAAAAAGATCAGTTAAATGAGTTTTTTCCCGTTATATGGATATAAAATATTCATAGTTTATTAAATATGAAGGTTCCTTAGACGTTGTTTCCTGCAAATGACGCGATTTCGGCCCCGGAACCGGGTCCGTGGGGCCTAAGAGGATAACAGAGTATGTTTCTATTTTTTTTCACAACAGTTGTATTTGGATGGAATGAATACCTATAGTGATAATTCAAAGTAATAAAATGATTTTTACAGTGAAAAAAGTCAAATGGAACTGATGGTTCCCAAATTACCCAGAGGTGAGTCCGCCTGGACTTTATTTTTTTAAATCTCTCTAAAAAGGTCAAATTTCACTTGTTTTGCATCAATCTTGATACAGGGTACTTATATGTTATAGTTTGGATTCCTAAAGCTTTTAGTCTACTAACCCATCATTCAAGGGTGGTTTTCACTATAAGTAATGGGTTTTTTTTAGGCAGACATTAGAATTTACATGTTTTTACTATGTTCCATCTGAATTTACTTTAAAATAAAAACATCTATATTGATTCTGACACTTCTACATCCAACTCACAGATGTAACCTTGCTTTGAGAGAAAAGATTATTGATGTACCCCTTTTATAAGTGAAGATATAGTCTTTGTTGTGTTAGTGGCATTTTCGAGCCTGAAACCTGAAAAACAGGCTCAGGGCTTAAGAGGTTAAAACAACATTTAAAAGAACCTTGTTTTGTGTTATGTATACATGTGTTGGTGATTTATTGTTTTGTTTTTTATATATGCTAGTTGTTCTTTCCTTTTAAAAAGACATATACAGCTTAATTTAACTAAGTTCCTTTATTGTAAGGCACAACATGTTCAGCATTCTCAACATGTACAATACACAACAGCAACACAACATGTTCTTCAGTTATATTATGTCTCTAGGTTATAAATAGTTTTAGACTGAACAAAGCTGTTTGTGTCACACTGGGATCAAAGATGATTGACATGACTTTATTAAATCAAGTTTTAAAACATGACTATTTTATTTCAACAGGACCCAAAAACACAAGGGGTATAAAATGGTAAATACATACTGTGATTGAATACAAAAACACCATCTATTATTGACCTTTATAGCAAACTCAAAACATTATAAATGATACAAAACACCACCTTTTAGTATTAGACAGAAAATAGGTGACGAGACATATTTCTATTTTTTTTAGATTAGTCCACTGTGGTGAGAGTAATACATATGGCTTGTATTCCATTTGTTTTGAAAATGTATATTTATACTTTATAAACAAACTGGTTACCCTTTTTTTAAATGAGCATACAGAACATTATGAAAACAAACTTGACTAATGGTCGGCTCATAACCTCAGAACACAGAAGAGGAAAAACTGCATCGATTCTCGTTTCATTTTGAAGGAGAAGACTTAAATTGTTAAAAAGGTCACAATCACATTAATAAAACAGTACTTAGGTTTTAGTTTCACTTTTACAAAACAGAGTTCCACATGTACTTTCTAGCATACGGCCATCTCCTCACTAGCCCTATGCTGCTGCTCCCCTGCCAGCTCTGTCTCTCCTTTACTCATCTTCTTCTTCAAATAAGAAGAGATGTCTGTTGACTTTCTCCTCATTTTCTGCTAATTGAAATTACACTCAGCAGTGATTAATAGTAGCCTACGCATTACACCAGCCCAGCATACCGACATCAGCTAACGTTAGCTTAGCAAACTAGACTAACGCTAACTAGGATAGCCGCCAAAGTGTGTTTACAGACAAATTATACCTGAAGTCAAGCCAGCCTTTACTGAGCCCCGAGCCTGTTTTCCAGGTCTTCCAGCGTTTTTCTCGTTTTAATGCCATTGAACACCATTTTTGATCAGAATAACAGCTAAAGGTAACCATATCTCCGTTTTTTGCTACATAATGCTAACACACTAAAGCCTAAAGTGTTGTGGGGCTTAACAGGCAACGAACGTATACGACTTACCTTCTAGAAGTCTGGTGGATTTTTGTCAACTCCAGTCCAGTCAGTAGAAAGAAACGTTTTGCTGCAACCTGCTGCTGTCTGTGCAAGTATCAGAGTGGTGTGCGCGAGTATCAGAGTGGTGCGCGCGAGTATCAGAGTGGTGCGCCCAGTATCAGAGTGTTACCATGGTAGCAGAGGGAGAGGGAGGGGCTGCAGTATGAGCATTGGAAGCTCAAATCAAGCGACTCGCTGGCTGTGTATTTGTTGTTAAATATCAGATAAACTACTACGCATACGTGACTGGCGAGGCGGTGTGTGTGGTGGGGGGGGCCAGTGGGGGGGCCAACAAATATATCAGGGTGGCCATGGCCCCCCCTGGCCCCCCCCCTGCTGGCGCCACTGCTGCTAGGGCAGCAGCATCTCGGCTGCTGACAGGAAGAGACTGAACAGACTGGTAAAGAAGGCCAGCCCTACTTGTATCTTTAATATGTTTATACATGCTTCTTAATAAATAGTAAACTATCTTTGGCTCTATACTTGCTGTAACAAATGTACATTTCCCCTCTGTGGGACGAAAAAAGGTATTCTGAATCTGAATCCATCTCTGACATTCAGAAATGGCAGTTTTGAGTCACCTAAAACCTAAAAATGGACCCAAAATTCATCAAAACTAGTCCTCCGGGAGTACAAATATGGCAGTTTTCTGGTTAAAACTGCAATTACCCTGAAAATGTCATAAATTAATTTAACATCCTCAATAACCCCCCAAACCGCTCAAACATGTTACAAATCGGCCAAGCCATTTAAAAAATATTGTTTGCATAATGCTAATTAATGCAACTTGTGCTATTTGTGGAAATTGTCCAACATATGCAAGTTAGCATCCGGCAGTTTGTATGTGCTCAGGGTCGGCTCTAGAACAAATCGAATGGGGGGGAAATCATTTACCACGGGGGGGCACACACTGCCGTCAACAACCAACACACAAACACCAACGCAACTTCAATTAAAAAAAACATGCTGTAAAGTCTATTGTCTTTCACACACGTTGCAGGGGTGTAGTGCTATTTCATAGCACACCTATGAATACATGCACGGTTGTGGCATGACCACCAACACAGAAACATATGGACATAGGCCACCATATAAAAAGTGTGCAAATGTATTTAGTATCCTATCCATGTGAACATGTTTAAGGTGTGGGGTGGACCTAACCTCCTCTAGGAGGGTATGGGGCAGAGTCCTGCATCGGGTGACCCGCAAAAAAGGTGATTCGCGGGTGGTATTTTTTCAAACGCTTTTTTCCGGGTTCGGTTCTGGGTAAAACAAAGATGATGCGGGTCAGGTCGCGGGTATTGCATAATAAATATATTAAAATAATAATAATTTAGTTTAATGTTTAAAATCCTCAGACCTCTCCCCCACGGGACCACGCATAATCATAACTTCTGCAGCGCATCAATCTGCTGCTGTGCGCGCCACATTCAAAATGGCTGAGGTGAAGCTCTCTAGCGGAGAATACAGCATTTACAGCATACAACACTTCCTCAAGAGCGAAATCCAACGTCTGGGAGGCTTTTGGTGTCATCCTAGATGGAGAAAATAACCAACATCCCACGTTCTTTGAGACAAATATGCAACTGCGTGTGTTAATAATTGCACGTTTTCACTGCTCAAATGCGGGTTCTTGTGCCGACGGGTCGGGTCGGGTTGCGGAACTAATTGGCAATGCGGGTAGCGGGGCGGGTTTGGTATTGCACGTCGCGGGAGCGGGTCTTGAAAAGCAGACCTGTGCAGGACTCTGGTATGGGGGCATTACATTACATGTCATTTGTTAGACGCTTTTATCCAAAGCGACAGTACAGTACTGTGGACAATCCCCACAGGAGCAATTTGGGGTGAAGTGTCTCAGGGACACAACGACATGCTGACTGCAGTGGGACTCGAACTTGGTAACCCCTGATTCGAAGTCCAGCACTCTATCCACTGAGCCAAAGCCCCATGCTCCCCCGGGAAGATTTTTTTTTAAATATTGAAGTTAAATGTATCAATCTGGTGCACTTTGAAAGCAAAATTAAGAGATCTATGAATAGCCTACATCTCTCAACACCAGTGGCGGCGCCAGAGTATTTTTGTTGGGTAATCTATGGTAGGGCTAACCCATACAGTGGTGGGGCTCAAGTCAGTATTTGTAATATAATTACATACACGCTATATCGCACCCCTTGACAGTGAAACGCCACGCGTGAGGCTTTTATTAGCTTTTATTAGTCTCATTTTATCAGCTAAATTACATCGAGAGCACCAGGTGTGAGTTAAACAATACAATAGCCTATTCTGCTAATTCCACATTGTTACAACATGCTACGCAGCGGCAGAAACAAGAAAAGTTGGCATATAGAATTGACACGGAGAGAGAGAGGGAGAGTGAGCGAGAATGAGGGAGAGAGACAGAGAGAGAGACAGAGACAGAGAGACACAGACACAGGTAAACAGAGAGAGACAGACACAGCACACAACAGGTGGCCTGTGTCTCTATTGTCATACAAAACACTTTTTCAAATGACCCATTATTACAAAATATATTCAAAACTCACTATTCACTCTTCAGGTAGGTCGTGTGACTCTGGCACCTGTTCGACTTGTACCTCAATGCGAGGGCGTTTAAGAACAAATATATCCATCCGAAATATACAATTAATCCTAGAAGTTCTGCTGTCGGTCTGCAATTTACTCGGCGCGAGTTTGGGGACTTTTCACTGTGAACGTGACGTATCGACGTATCAGTAATGCATGACGCAGCAGACCCAACGTTTCGTTGCTCTGATTGGCTGTAGGTTTATTCAAATTGCATTCGGAGGCATTTTTGATCTGACCGCGGCCGCGCTGATATTATAACGCCAGAGAATTTCCACACCTTTAGTGTATAAAACTCCCCCACTACTTAGACTATTCCTTGCACCCCTCTAGTATAAGCCCAAATGGTCTCAACCATATTGCGTCAGTAACGTGCACTTGTTGTTACAGCAGGATCAGTTTGTGTGTTGTGGACACGACCGGTAGATTTTTGCAATCCGTGTTCTCAACATGCTTACTTTAACATAATTTTTCATGGTCGGGCTAAGGTAGGGCTAAGCCATTTCTTGGTATGGCTGTAGCCTACCCCAGCCATATCCTGGCGCCGTCACTGCTCAACACCCATATGAAACAGAACTGTAAACAGATGTACTTTTTCTTTATGGATATTTTACTAATCACTCTCCTTTTAAACTGTATTCTTGTGTTACTGTCCTATAGTATTTCATACCTGTTTTTCATTTATTCTCTTATTTTTTAATAACTATAATGATCATATAAAGTTGTTTCTCGCAAATACTTGTTTACATAAATGGTGACCAAACCGTTTGAGACCCACTGAGATAACCTACACTAAAGTTAACTATCTAACACTCAGAGAGTCCTTTAGTTCACCTGAGCCTCTCAGTCTGACAGGAGAGGACTCTCCTCCGGCTTGTTGTGGAACAAGCAGCTCCTTATGTCTAACAACTAGGGCCGGGACCCGATTAAAAAAATTAATCTAATTAATTAGAGGCTTTGTAATTAATTAATCGAAATTAATCGCATTTTTAATCACATATAAATATTTGACCTAAGAACAGTGAGAAGCAATTTTTTTCACATGGATTTTAGTATACCATTAGGCGCATTCACACCGCAGTACTTTTCCCACAAAGGTTCATGAGAATTTAGTTCATGAGAACTCTTTGAACCTGGGGGTGGATTAGGCAAATGAAGCCGCTGACGTCACTTCTTCTTCTTCTGCTTTGGGTTTACTGGCAGGCCGCAAACCACTTCACGGCGTATACTGCCGCCCAAAGTCCCCGGCCGGAAGTCCCCGGAGTTGGGGACTGGCTTCAGTAGAAGCTGCTGGGAGTCCCAGCAGCTTCTACTGAAGCCTTCCGAGTAAATCGCTAGAACGCCGACACCTCCTCATCTCCACCGCTCCCATGTTTTATTTTGTGTTGCCATAAGTTAGTCTCTCTGCGTTTCTGCACTGGGCTAATGCTAATAATGCTAATGCGAGGATAATAAAATGGCGGCTTCACAAAACTTTTTGGGAGTTTTACGGGGCGTGGTTTGCAATCCGCCCAGCCAATCAGACATATAGCTCTTTTCTCACAAAAGAGCCGTACGAAAGTCCCTGCTCTCTAGCAGCTCTCTGCTCTCTAGCAGGGACTTTCGTGGGGGTAAAAAGGTTCTCATGAACTAATTTTAGTACCGGCTCTTTTTGGTGTGAACGCGATAAAAGAGGCTAACGTCCACGCTAGCTGCTATATGTTTTGCATTGAGGTTATACTTGAGGCTTGATGTGCTGCGGTGATATGCGAATTCCTTTTTGCATAATTTGCACACAACCGTGCTCTTATCGACGCTTCCATCCGTCCGTTTTTTAAAACAACATTTCCCACTGTTGTTCACTGTGGTTTGTTGTTGTCTGAAGTCATGAACGTTAGTTGTTGCTCCAGTATAATCGGTACGCCTGAAACTCATCCAGTGAGAAACGTTCCGCGGTGCAAAAATAAGTGCGATTAAAATGTGTTAATTTTTTTAACGCGTTAATTTTTGTGTAATTAATTCATCTTAATTAACGCGTTAAAGTCCCGGCCCTACTAACAACACGTTCTCAGTCTCTCTCTCGGTCGGTCGACCCTACCCCTCCGTGACGGAGTGAACTCCGGCCGTTTCTCAAGCTCGAGGATGCTTGCTTGGTAGTCGCATACTTCCAAGTCACTTCCTTCAGAAACGAAGCAAGTATACTTCCAAGCCACGGCTTCGGAAAACGAAGAAGAATGGAACACGCTAACAAGGGTGCCACTCTCTCTAACGGTTTCAACATAAACTGTACCGAAAATAAATACCTCACGATGTCTATCTAATTATGAACTTGCTTTACTTTCACGGAACACATTTTTGGTGATAACAAAGTCACATATTTACCAACACATGTTCTACGCCACAACATACTTACATTTAAATGTGTGCTGCGTCGGTTCAGCCATTCTCCGCAAGGGTTTTTTAAATTGGTCCGTGCGCAAAGCATTGTGGGGATTTTAAGGACGCGAAGTATACCTATGTGCAGCCTAGAAATTTCCCCCAAACCAAGGACGCGGTATGGAAGCAAACAAGAGACAGAAGTATTCGAATTGTATTAGACACCGAATTTATAGCATTGAAAATAATTACTTTGAAAATCATGAATCTGAATTTTTTTTGCTCCGAATTTATCTATGTGAAATAAAAATGTAAAAATTCAAGTTAAAAAAATTCGAATGTTCAAATTCAGATCCCAAAAATTCAAGTGAAAAAAATTCGACGTCAAATATTTTGGTGTTTAAAATTCGATGTCAAAAAATTCGGTGTGTAAAATTCGACGTCAAAAATTGCGATGCAGCCTCATCCGGGCTACTCAGACAGGATAAGCAATCGAGCCCTAATGCAATCAAACCGACTTCTGGCCTATCAGAGCCAAGCGGCAAACCCCGGGACAGTGCGGTGAAGCCCAATGCTGCAAACTATAGGCGATGGATGCAGATGGGAGCAATTCCCGTAGACCCTATGTTAAAATGTCCAACTTAACATAAGAAAATGAACATGTTTCTAGCCTGGATCTACAAAAACATATTCTGTATATAGTTAGATTCCCCCTTCATGACAACGGGACTGCTGCTCCTAGCTCCGTTAGCTCCGTGATGCTACAGGGGATCAGCGCATGAGGAGAACACTACTTGAACTCGGCAGTGTTTGTTGTGTTGGTTCCTGGTGGACTATTCGTTATGCAAATATAGGATTTATCTGCGGTTGAAACAGACCGTCCATGAATGCAGTTTCTTCGGTAAGTCAACCCTGCGTACTTTATGTTATGTTACTGGTGTTTTTATTAAGCTAACGTTAATGAATGTTTAGAGTTGGGTTAGCATTTGAGCAATCGTAGCTCCATCTGTGCTAACGATGCTATGCGTAGCATCCAAGAGTGTAAAACATTAAGTGGGATGCTACTGTATACTAAAAGGCTTCTGTGCGAGGTTGCTAAAATAAGGTCATCCTTGTACGTTAGATAATTAGTTTGCTATTTAGATTACTGTATGCATTGTTAAGGTTCATTTAAATTCGCTATGCTCTACTATAGCATAAAATAGACTAGCTAACTTCAACGTATTGTTGAAGAGAGGCTTAGTGTATATTAAATCAACCTCACAATGAAATGTGTGTATCTTTAAAATATGAACGTCACATTTCAAGATGGTCCAGAAATAACGCTCCCTTAGATATTGTAATATGGTTTGTTGAACTGGAGTTATTTATTGCAGCTAACCGTCTATCCGACGAACGACCCAAACATTGTTGTTTTTAATATTATTACCAATGCCTCTTTTAATTGTATTATCATCACACTTGAGAAACAGCCTTATCGTTGCTGTAGATCGGAACATGTAACTTAATTCCTGCATTTAAGGACGATGAATAGCGTAGTAGTCAATGCTTTAGTGACAAGGAAATGATTTGTTTAAATATTATATATGATGTTATCTGTGACTTCAGTGGAAATTAAGCTTATCCATTGCATTGCATTTGTTAAATAGGTTTGTGTCTTACCCTTACGCGTGTGATGCATATGAAAACAAATTAATTTGACTGACTCATGAAAACCTCATCCAAAGTAACAGTAAAATAAAAAGGACCTACACAATAATACTCAATCAAACTGATACAGTATAAGGACTGTGATATCCAGCAATTTCTTAAGTATAACAATAAGATTATGACCTGTTTTTAAAAGAAGATAAAAAGTAGTTTGCATGTAAAGAAGTCTGTAAGCCATGCATGTAACTTTACATCTGTTTGTTCAAAGTGTCCTTAAGGTGATCCAGACAGGCTGGACCAAAGGAGGAGAGACATATCTGGACTCCTAGCAGCAGAGAACTTCAGCACGGATTCCAAGGTACACCTTTTTCATACTTTACAAAGAATGCATAAAGTAATGACTCTAATACACTGATATACATGCCATTAAACATGACTGAGTGAATACTAGATCGCCTACACATCAGTGATGTTGAGTGTACTTTCTTAGAAAAAGGTTACATTTACATTTTACCAAGCAACATCACTTTTTTGTTCAACTTTCACATTTCAATGTATTTAAGGCAAATATTATTGAACATAGTGAGAACTGCGACCCTTTGTCTTTCAGTGAGACAACCGGACAGAGCAAGCTTCTACAGTTGCACTAAGTTTTGATAACAGTTAAATATTATTTTAATAATACATTTATTTCAATGTTGAGGAATTTAGAACGGTTTATTCATAATCTGATTATCTTTGCAGTACACTGTTGGATTTAAAAAAACACATTAAAATAAAAAAATCATTATATTTATGAACAAACAAACACACCTCTTTCTTAAATAACACACTTGCTCTGCAATAATGTGTTTTTTGATATTTCTGTTAGGAAAGGACATGCCTGAGAGACAGGACTGCTTCACCATGTTCTCTTTCTCTGAGGGTCCAGAAGAACATCCAAGAGGGAAAGGAGAAGCTGATGTTATGAGATTTAAGAGCAGTACAGGACATTCACTAAGAGACACTTGTATTGTAACACAAAGACCTGCACACTGAATAGTTTTGTAGTCTAACAGGAACTTCATTTGTGTTGTTTTGTGTTTTACGTTGCACCTCAGAGACAGTGTGATTATTGTCAGGCCTATAAAGTTTGGCAAAAAAAAAAAGTCAGCTGATCAAATGCATTTGCCTCACTTTATGAGCTTCACATCACTTGTGCCTTGTACCGCAGAGTTTGCACCGTCATAAATAAATGGTGCCAATCTTCAGTCAGATGTGAATGTGTAATCTAACATTTTCAGCAAGAATAACGGACAAAAGGAGTGCAAATACAATTTATTGAAATGTGAACTAAAAGTTATCAAGCATGAACCATCACCATTTTTTAAAAATAAAAACGAAATAATATACATAAGTTACACTAAATGTTAATCTGTTAATTGACAGGCTAGGCCTGTGCAGGTGGTAACAGCTATGCCCAGCATGGGCTAAGTTCTGTAGGTGGTGCAGGTCCTCCTCCATCAGGTCTGGTCCTCCTCCCTCAGGCCTGCAGGGTCTTTCCCTGCGAGGAGGGAAAGACCCTCAGCCCTCTCTGGCCAAAGCAACAGACAGGACGTTCATAAAGCTGAGGTCTCCCCCAAAGTCTCTAATCATCCATCCTGTGAATATGAGAGGGGAACAAATAGTGTAATAGATGCTTTGGACAATAAGAAATATAAAGTTAACTGTTGAGTTGCTCAGTTTTTTAGATTGACAGGGTTTAATAACACAAACAAAAGGAGAGAAATAAAGATTGGTCTTTCAATAAATTGTGTTGATTTTGTCTTTTGAATTGTTTGTCTGAAGTCAAGTAGCTAGAACTGTTACTTATAGTTTGAATGATACAGTCTGGTTATAATGTGTGGAGGAGGCATCACAGGTAAGAGCACCATTTGTTGTGTTCCGTCCACAACAAATTGATGTGTGTGTATTTATTTATCTACTATTTCTTGAATTATTACTGTCAGTCCAAAACAAGAGATTTTGTTTTGGTAACATTTAAAAAAAAAAAACATCTATTTTTCACTACACTATCTTGAATACTTTAGTTTTTACGTCACTACATTTATCTAACAGCTTTAACATTGTAAAGGTGTCACTTCGGACTAATGACAGCATGTCCTACTCAGCCCTAGAGTCTCTAGGGCTCTGGTCCTACTATTTTGAGAGTTTGAACAAACCAGACCTTCATCTATTAATGTAGAAAATAGTCGGCACATTACACCATTATGAAAGTAATAATTAGTTAGCTCATTGTTCAAAATGAGCTCCAACTACAACAGTTAAGTCAACTCGTGCATCGGTAATAACAATAAATCAAATGATATAATATAATAGTATAACTTGTGTCTACTTTAACAACACTTTCCTAATTATACTAGCATACTTTTACTAAAGTAACATTAACATGTTTAAATGCAGGGCTTTTGTAAGAGAGTATTTCGTATAGTGTAGCATGGTCTACTTGACTTATCTAACCGAAGTGATCGTTACGTTACTTTGCAAACCGTCACCCCCAACCAACCAACCAACCCACACACACACACACGTTGTGATTCACTTCAATTAATGGTAACGGAGCTTGCTAACAGCAAGGCACAAGGCTACTTCACTCATTTAGCTAGCTAATGTAAGATACAAATACTGTCGAGCCCTCACTGCTTGTAAAATAAAGAGCACAAACTGACTACTTACCCGAGCGGCGAGCCCCGCTGTTCTCCGTCATTTTTCTCCCGGGTTGTTGTGATCACATGACTGACAAAGCCGTGCTCTGATAGGCCAGAAGTCGGAGTTGCATTAGGGCTCGATTGCTTATCCTGTCTGCGTAGCCCGGATGATGCTGCATCGCAATTTTGGACATCGAATTTTTTGACATCGAATTTTTTGACGTCGAATTTTTGGGATCTGAATTTGAACATTCGAATTTTTTTCACTTGAATTTTTACATTTTTATTTCACATAGGTAAATTCGGAGCAAAAACATTTAGATACATGATTTTCAAAGTAATTATTTTCAATGCTATAAATTCGGTGTCTAATACAATTCAAATACTCTTGTCTCTTGTTTGCTTCCATAACGCGGCCTCGGTGGAATTCCAAGTATGCTGGAGATTGGAACAGTCCTTCGGCGGCACTCGATGATGTAGTATCCTTGAAATATTGGCTTGTGTTAACTGTGATGGTTATTCTCGCGTCCAGGAAAGAGAAGCTTAAAAAGGAGACTAAATGGAGTCTCTGAGATGTTTTCAAATTGGTACTTTAATTAATAAAAAGGCGCGGTACAGTCACAAACAGGATATTGTCCGACAGAAAAGCAGCTGTCTCTGGCCCTCGCTAGCAGAGAAAAGAGGCCGAACCGCTCAGGTGCTGCTCTTATATAGCTTCTGTAGGCTCCTCCCTGCGGGCCGGCCCTCCACATCTTAATGTCCGTTGTTACGTTTAAACAGAGGATTCAGGCATTGTACATTCAATAAATACTTAAACACGCCTCTTCTCCTCATATTGTCTTTCATCACTTTTCCTTTAACACATTCTAAACGTTGTAGTTAATATTCTAAAAAATACAGAAAATACTTCACGGCTGGTTTGGTTTCTGGTCATTCCGGATGTTGTCACATCTTACCCACGTCTGTAAACAATAACTTTATTCAAATAAACTATACCTTCATTTAATATTCAGCAATAATAATACGTCTATAGTTGCAGTGTTAAAATCAGTAGGTTTCGGTGTGCATCACTCCATGTCATTTCGCTACTAAATTAACCTCTATAAGAAATGGTAAACTAGCCACATGCTAACCGGAGATGAAGGATTTTCAGAATAAAAGCTTAACTGGTTGTGCACAATAATTTTCTGGTTTTTCAGTATAAAACAGCATTTAAACTGAAGGTACATTTAAGGTACATTATGCCATCAAAACATTGATTTTAATTTCTAACAGTCCCTCCTTACACACCTAAAAGGTGTGTATAATACTGAAATCAATGAGTTCTTCATCTGAACTTTGCATAGTACATAATTCATATCAAAAACATACAATCAAAATGGAATAGTGCGAATATCCTCAACTTTACAAAAATACAAAAATACTTTGACTCTGTTCAAACATCAAAGTTTTCCCTTGTGCATAACTTCTAGTGTTAACATTCAATATGGCTCTTCAAAATAGCAGCAATGGCTTGGTATCAGAACATTTCTTCCTCCCTCCTTTCACAGAAACCGTTCTTATAATACACTCAGTGTTAAGGCACTTGTTTTTACAAAGTGAAAATAAACTATTCATTTTAGAATTGTAATGATTCGAAAATACATGAAATCTACCATATAGAACAGTGAAAAATAATAAAAATGAAATAAACTATCTTGTACCAGTGTAATGTAATAATAAAACAAAAAATACACTATCTTGGAATAGTATAGAGTAATTAAAAATAAAAATACACTATCTTGGAATAGTATAGAGTTCAGTGAAATGGATTCACTCCATTTTAGCATTTTATTTTGCTCACTTCTTCAGATGATGTCATCATTTAAAGAGTCACATCGGCTGGACATTCATTGAACAACCTCATCTCTGAACATCCATATCGTTTAACATCATTCAAACTAACTCATCATTTTCATCAACATCTGTATTGGGGTGGGCCGTCTTGTTCTACTAGCATTTGTAACTGTCTCCTCATGAGAAATTTACCCTCCCTCCTTTCATACCATTTAAGGTATGAAAGTAATATGTTCTCTAGAAGAGGCCGTCGTGATCAATCGGTATTTTAGGACATGGAATTAGTGTTACATTTAGGCCTCCCCTGGGCGCCCCTATGCTATCCTTTTACCCTGGAGCCTAAACTCCCCCTGGGACTGGTCTCTTAGCCCTACTGGCTTTGGGGTGGTCTGTTCTAATGCAGTGATAAAGTCCCTGAAATGGTGTGAAAACCGGTGGAATATCAATAACTCATTATACTAATTTATTTTCATTTCTGGTCTACTTAAATAACTATGCTAACCCCCTTTAACAGTGTGTGGAACCTTGGGTGCTCTAACAAGGACTTCAAAAACAGAAGTCATTTAATGGTTTGTAGTTCAATTCAGGAATTTTCACTCATGGCAGATATGTTTCTCCTTTTAAATAACATCTCTAAATGTCAGGTCATCACTGATTAAATGGAGGAGCATTAGGAGGTGGTGGCACTTGTCTTTTAAAACTCATACTCTGGTGCCGTGCGCTCCCTCTGAAGCTGCAAGTAAGATTTAAAACATCTGCAGGGTGGGTTGAGCGACCCCTTCTCCCTGAGCGATATTTATTGTTGAAAATATGCACCATTAAAATGAGTGATCCAAAGCCCCGCATGTATTACTCCCAATTGTACTAGTTTTTTCAAAATTAAAATCTTCAATCGCTCTTTGCCTAGTGTCTTTTTAAAACTCTACATCTTGGACGACAAACAAATGTTGTTTCCACCTTAACAGTTCTCCTGTGGTAATATCCATGCTACAATGGTGAAACCAATACTCTAGATTGGAATACTTTCTTTGGCTTGGTTCCAGCTCTACCTTTAACATTTTCCATTCAAATAAAGATTTGCCTGCTATCTATATTGTAACTAATTAAATCTTCCCCAAATTCTCACATGAATAAGAATCTCTATAAGAATAATTTGTTTATTTTATGAAAAGATTGAATAATATGTTCTACCCTCAGTGTGTTTTTAGGATTATTTTCTAATAAGTGTGTTTATGTGTAAACTCACTCACTCCTGTGTTCCTTCTCTCCCCCTCTGATCGTCAAGCCACGACCCCCTCACGTTCTGCTGGCCCATGCCAACTCCTCTGGTTCTGTCTTCTCCTCCATCCTGTCTTCTCCTCAGTCCATCCGCACTTGGATCTTCCCGCTGTAATT